AGCGATCTCCATTAATATTTGAGAAAATATATCTGACTAATTTTGGTTTATCATTCAAGGAGAAACCAAAAAAAAAAAAAAAGAAAAAGAGAGAGACAGATGTAAACTTGTGGAAAAACAATTTGAAAGCTGCTATGTAATCCTTTGTCTGCTGTGACCAATCAGAGCCACAATGTGCCAATGCCAGTAGGAATGCAGAGACCTTCAGCTTCAGCAGAATCTCTTGGCAAACACCAGGTTAACTGCAAATACTTCAAAGGCACATTCATGTTAGGAGGACTCCTGCAAGCAAATGTGAGGCACTGGGTGTTCAGAGTTGTGTGTGGGTTGTTTTTTTTCTATTCTCATTTGTCACAATACAATGACAGCATAAGCACATGTCTTAATATCCCATAAAGCCTGGAACAAAAAAGGCAGTTAAGAGCAAAAAACTTTTCTGAAAACTCCCACACTACCTCTACAGCCCAGTTCTAAATCTTCAAGCCTTGCTTGGATCCACAGCCAGCCCCTGCCACAACAGGGATCTGATTCTCTACAGACCATTTCAACCTTGTATCCTCTGCCTGAGAATGCCAGAATAGCAGGGAAGAAGGTGATGGGGTCTATTCCTCTAATAAGGAATATGGTTGGTTGATTACTTCAGACCTCACTCAATTCTTTGCCTAGAGCGACTGCAGGCTTGTAGAGAACACAGCTGACCCAACTTGTATCAGGGATTGAATGAAATGATTTCCCAGGACCAAACCTAAATTGTTCTATGACTTTCAAATGCAGATAACTTTCAGGACAGCTTAAAAGGGATTTTAAAAAAGTAGTGCCAACGTAACTTCTACCGCAGTGTTAACTAAAGTGAGCAAACTCCACTGGATAGCTCAGTTAGATGGGACCTTCAGAGATCATCAGGACCAGCTGCCTGGCTGCTGCACAGCTAACCAACTGCTCTATTACGTTATCGAGAGCATTATCCAAATGCCTCTTCAGTGCTGACTGGCATGGAGCACCAGGCACCCTCTGAACCCGTTCCCCTGTGTGTCTGAACACCTTTCCACAGTAAATACATTTTCCCGAATGTCCACTGTTCTATCAGTTTTTTTCTATCATTTTTTTTTACTACAAGAAAAATCTGAACCACATATTGTGCAAATCAAGAGATCGTAATTCTTCTACGTATACCCAATGTGTGCTAATCTTCGTAGTGCACTAGTTTTCATACAGAAATTAACATTCATTGCAATCCTAATGCCACCAAGCCATACAGGAATTTGTGCCAAGAGACAAAGAGGAAAGTGCTCTGTTCACAGTACTGTATCACAACACAGTCTTTCTGCCTGATACGCTCTACAAGCAAAGAAGAAGTACTAGCTTTCTTCCACTGGAAATCCAAACAGACAGTTTCGTGTACAACTTTACCACTGACACAAAATCTGAATGCTTTTGAAGATGCCCGTGTCATACATTCTCTCTAACTGTAAGCACAGTGATTATACCACAATTTGCTAGCATGCAAACTATTTTTAAAATCACCACACCACAGCTATAAACTGTTACCCATCACCGCCCCTGTTCCAAATGCTGTTATGTTCCTTCTAGTTCCTAGTAAAATCAGAGCAGCAGTAACAGCCCAGTGTCATTTCTTCTAAAAAAAATAATAATAAGTTAAATAAAGGAGTATTTCTATGCTCTTGGCATTTACCGATCTGATTTGCTCTTAGGCAAACAAAATGCCATGAGAAGAAACTGTTATCGGACTTCTCAGTTCCCTGCAAGGACTCTTAAGGCAGAAATGATGCCTGCTGGGAAAAGGCTGATGTCAGCTCTTAATTGCTCCCTGCAAGGATAAGGAGGCCTTTGTTTTCAGCTGAACTGTGAAAATGAGAAAATGCCTCCAGCCTGACAAACAAGAAACCCACATAACATAGGTCAGGCCGGAGACCTTTGCTTAAAGGTACAACACGCTTCGTGCGCACTCCACCTACATCACAATGCCCAGATACAGATCATTTTATACAGGGCTAAATACATCTTGGAAATGCAATAAAGAGACCTCATTTGTTAAGAGAGACTGGTATAGCTCCAGCCCCTTACCAGTCAAGTTCCTAATTACTCTCCTCTAAATCACAGGAGAACAAAGGCATGTTCCAACGTGAGGCTTCAAAGAAACTCTCTGCTGTTTTACAGAGCATCAGACAATTCAGTACATTTTACTTAAGACTATGCTTCAGTGAATGCATTTTAAGTATTTGAGCAAGTATATATAAAAAGTATTTGAGAGATGTACAAGAAAGCGTGAAATGCACACAAAGGGATTTCATACTACAGTGCCTAGGTTTGGATGCGAGGTAGAAGTATGGTTTTTATCAAGTGAGAAGTTTGTGGGTGTCGTTTCTACAACAACAAAAATACAGAAGCTGTACACAGACAGTCCAGCACACTGCCATAAAGTAAAGATCTTAAAAATGTTTCTGCAAGGTCTCGGGTATGTATATTTTTTTTTTTTATCCCAAGGCTGGGAATTATCTCCCTGAAAACAGAGCCTTTCATAAATTTGTTCTTTGCACAGGAATTTTAGAAGCATGAAAGAATTGCCAGGGCATATGATTCGCTGTACTTCACAGCCCTCTCTGCTCCACTAGTTGTATTTTTTCACGACAAAAGTAAATGTACCTGAGTACAGCCCTAAATGAACTTCATCTGAAAGATACATCTGGGAATTACACCTGAGCAAGGATTATCTCAAAGCATTCAGTTTCAGAACAAAAGGCTAGAATTGCTTAATGTCTAATAGAATATCCAAAGCAGGTACATGGATTCATTCCCATCGATGCACAGTGCTGCTAAGAGTTAACATCAAATTGCTAACAAAAGTTCTACCATTTATAATGAACCACGGTGCCCGATTCTCATCCTGTTGAATTACATTTCCATTCACAATATGCTGCTGGTAAGAGGATGAATATTCAATTGCTTCACAGTTCTACCAAGATGATCACAAAGACCCAGATGTCTGAACAAGAGATGCTTGTGGTTGTACAGACTTCTGCCTTCCAAGTACTGACTTCCAGATGAACAAGATCTGTCCATTCTGGTCAGTTAGAATAACTGAAGACACTCAGCTAAAGGAGGAGAGATTTAAACAGTGCTGTGTGGCAAAAATGTGTGTGATACCAACTGAACAATTTTTGTATCACCAGCAACCTCCTCCTGTGTGTTCAGGGCACTGAAACCTGAAAAGCTCAAAACACAAGCACTGAACCTAACACCTCTATAGCCCAAGTCACAGAAACGTATTTGCTGTCACACTGTATCAGTAGCAAGGGCATCTCTCATGGATTTGCTTTTCCAAATTGAATATTATCAAAACAGAACTTTTAGAAGTCACTACAGTGGGAGCACGTTTACTGTGTTCCATAAAATACTTCTTTCTCCAAATTTACTGCCTTTTTGTCAGTGCAAACAAATCAAACTTCTACAGTACATTTCTCATCCCCAAAATATTTTAGGACAGTCCTGTAAAGTTTGAATAATCCACTTCAACTGTTAAATTAGAATGAAAAAGCATTATGTTAGATCATGATTCATACGCAGTAGGAGCTTTAATTGAAACAGATTAAGTCCCATCGCATGAATACTAGGCAGATAACCAGTGCTTTTTACTAGCAGAAGATTTGCCTTTCACATACAAAAAGAATGCACTGAGTAAAAACATACCATACTAGAAAAGACTATGTCTAAGGGATCACGTGGAGTAACTGCCTGCATCTTTCAGTTTTGAATGCTGGTTGCACGTGAGTCTGTTGGTTCAGACTTCATTATTTTTATAGTCTCCACTGTATAAAGTGCTGTAATGTACGCAACTGCCAGCTGTGTTTTATTTCATCACTAGCATATGAATTTTTACAAATCACACCTTTTCCCACAAAGTTACATAATAATTCAAAAATGCCATAAAATTCTTCAGACGTGTCATGTATGTATGCCACAGAAACAGAGCATGTGGTTCTTTCCAGTACCACCATTTTCAGTGCCAGGGAAAGGCTATAAATAGTTAAGTTTTTAGGAGAGAGAAGGTATGTTGTAAATGAGAAGTCTCCCTCTGCTTGTGAGCTTTTATTGTTTTGCATTACTTCAGTGCTGGATTCCTGATTCGTAACAAATTCCAAGACTGCAGACTACAGGCCCAGCCTCTGACTAACACTATGGTGATTTATTTGAGGATAAATACCTCAGTCCGCATCTTATGACTGAACACAACAGTCCACAGCAGAGCGGAATGCAAGGAATGCAGAGGCTGTAAGAGCTGAGGCAGCAGGGAACGGCGCTCAGCTATCAGACTGCCCTGGACTGCTGAACTGCTCCAAACACTTCCTCCAGTCAAGAATGAAAGGAATTCTCTAAGCCTGTACTTCATGCCAACCAGACCTGCATTCCTACGAATGCACACAGCAAGAATGGCATTTGATGATTACCCAACACGTGCACCTAGCTCATCAACACCTTACCTGTATGAAAAATTCCACATCTGACTGTCAGAGCTGGAGTGCAATCACCCAAGTAATGTTTAGCAACAACTGCAGCTTGCCCAGTTGTCAAGGCAGACTACAGAGCAGCTGGCTCACAATCTCCTGGCCTCTGAAAAATGCAAACCACTTCTGTTTCTGCTCCTCCTGCTTCCCCACCCCCAGAGTACAGACTGCTCAGAATCTGGGGAAGTGAAACGAGCAAATTACAAAGAACACATGAACAGTGCTTTAGAAACTGCAAGGTTAGTGTATGTGTTTTGTTACAAAGTTAAGCTAATTCCTGTTGCTTTGTTGCATGCAAACCAAACAAGTCATCGCTCATCTAATCTCATCAGCTTTTGTGCAGAATTTTCATGCAATCTGGAACAAAGGAAAGATCTACCAGGAAGATTTAGACACAGTATGATTTTAGCACGTACAGAGATGAAGAGGACAGCACTACATTCTGTGAAACAGAAGTAATAAAAGCAAGACACTTACAGATGTGGATTGAACATTCGACTCATTTTAGAAACATGTTCATTTTCACAGTCTATCTCATCATCCCCTTGGTCCATGCTGAGCTTTCTCTTATTGGGGCTGATCGGAGGAGGGCCTGTCCGATGGTTGGTTAAAGCAGAGGATACTGGGAGAGACTGCATTCTGGGCTCACCTCTTAAAGCTGCTTCACCTACAGGAAAAACACAAGTGAAGATGAACACAACAGGGAAAAATGAGGTAGAACATGGTGTTTTTAAAAAAAATTCTCGCAGACAAAATTCCCAAACAGATGTCAGGTGTGCAAAGGCACATTCAAACATGGTTATAAGATAAACAAGGCATTATAAGCCATACCTTAGAGTTTCATGCACAAACAGAGCAACAGTTGAGAAAAGGTAATACAAGAGGGGTCGACTCACCCCAGATGATCTGAAAGGTTGAACTAACACATCTTTCTAACAGTATTTTTATTCAGAAGCATTCCTTCTTACAAGCTGCCATTCCAGCATTGAACTTTCATTACCTCATCCTGCAAAGCATGACTATTTGCAATGAAATATGCTTTGTTCCTTTCCTTATGGTTGTGGTATAAATTCCAGGTTCACATCTATGCCAAATATTCAAGATCTAAAGCTGAATAAACATTGAAATTCTCAAGTTATTCTTTTCATAAAAAGCTGTCCAAAACAAGCTTGTCTGGTATATAACTATTGAGGTAAAAATTAGGGAAAAAACTGGAACTTGCTTTTGCAAGTGTAAGTTTGTCTGCAAACGTCCTTCTCTATACTTTTAAACTACATTTGTTGCAATATACAACTGTACATGTTTTCAACAGAAGAATCATACAACTTCAATTCTAAGAAAGGCATTTTTCCAGGAGGCAGACTGGTGGTACTCAGTAGTTTATAAATTCTATGTATTTTCTGATAAGACAGAAAATGCCACTCACAGCATGTGGGAGTTACGTATAAACAATTCCAGAAATGATACAATTAGCTTGCTTAGAAACACATTCACACAATGTTACTGTGCATACATTAAAATATGACCATAGTTTTTTCTCCCCTTTCAATTAACTCTCTCACTGAACACAGGGCCTGAAGCGCAGCACTGCATTTTGCCTACAATTATGGAACTCACCATCCTTACAGCCACAGGTCATAGGGATTTAAAGACATTAGAAAATGCTTTTCAGGCTTTGAAAGGAGCTTAAGGATGAGCTAAATTAATCAGGGTCACCTATTCTGGCAATATCCCTGAAACAGCTACTTCTGCTGGAGTTTAAAAGTTGTATTTTTCCTATGCTGCCAGAAGCATTTTGTTTTCTACGTGGCCATAATTTCCAAAACTAAAATTAGGATAAAGTTAACTTCATCTGCAGTCCTGAAAGTAGCTGAGAATAGAAATCTTTGTGTGTCACCACACATTTTCACATCATCGCTGAGGCAGACGATTTATAAAACGCTGACCTAATTCCACACAAAACAAATACTATTTTGTTGGAAAAAGAAGGAGAGAGGAGAAAACCTCCTGAATGTTTACCAGTAAAAATAAGCATTTTGCCAATTTCGTCAGCATAATATAAACTAGCAAATATACGCTGACCTATAATACACCACAAGTCATGATTTCTATAAAAGACTCTGGCACCAGATTTAAATTGGAACTTTCCATCTCAGCTCTAAATAGTAAAAACTGTGCCCTACTGCAGATGCTCTGAGACAGAATGCAAACCCCTCCTGTATGAAAGGACCCAAACCCCCACCCCAGCCACCGTAATGTCACACAGAGCTCCTATCAAAAAGACCTCTCATCAGAAATAACCTTCCCCTGAGTACAGTTCCTGTATTTTTAGCTCAGCCTGTATGTTTTGAGCAGATATCGATCATGTTCTGATGCAAACTTTAGAAGCAAACCACATCACACCGCATTCTCTTGGAGAGGAATCTCTCTCACTTCTCTCTTTGATAAAAAGTTTTATACCAATGTCAAGAGATAAAGCTTTCATCAGTTCAGGCTCACGATACTTTCATCCCACTCATATGCAATCATTCTTCTCTCTGTAGTATCTCAGATAACTTCTGAAGACTCAAAATTCCATTAAAGAAGTTCCAGGTCTGCACCTAAGTCCTCCCGAGTTCTCCTGAGCAACTCTTGACAAAAACATGAACCCTTTAACTCACAGAATCATAGAAAGCTCACGTGAAGCCCACTGCAGTTTACGAAAGATAATTTCTAGACATTGTTCCATCTTTCCCTTTTCTCAATCAACAGCCAGGTGCCCGACACTACACAATTATCTCTATTTTTTCTTTATTAAAAAAAAAAAATATATATATCATTTTATTATATACAACAGTGTCTATATACTAACATTCATTTTAGTGCAAAAACCTGGTAAAAAGTGTTATTGCTGCCTCATGTTGGAAGTAGAGACTCATTGTAAAGAAATTCAGCAAAGCGAGGGTTGGCTTCTAATTAAAGCCTGTTGAATTTGATAGTGCATTTTCCTACTGTGAACTAACATGGTCTTCAGCACATATCTGACAGTTCTGTCTTGTGCCATAGGGTCATTCAGCCAAAGCTGCAGCTTCATGAGGACAGGTGGCAGAGGTGGGCACTGGGGCAGCAGGAGCTGCTCGCTCTCGGTCTGCAGGACAGGCAGGAAGACACCAAGCATCTCCTCCAGGCAGAGCCACGTGGCCACTGCCCAGCAGGCACCAGGCAGGCAGGGAACAATGCCAGACAGAGATCCAGATAATAGGGTGAGATTAAGAGGAAAAATATCCCTCCATTGTATATAGGGATAAATTGCACACACTCGGCTTATAATTTTGATTAGGGTTAAAACTGTTTTATATTTAAATAAAAGGTGTCTTCTTTCCCCACCACTTTACTCCTTCCCAAATGTGAATTTAAACCAGAGAGGGAGAAACCACAGCAGAGCCTATGACACAAGGCACTGGTTTGCTGACTGCATTTGTCTCCCCCAGCTGACCACACTCCATGGTAACCAGACTCACACTACACAACTGGCAAGACAACACTCTGATAAAACAACTCTGTTTTATAAAATTCCCCAAGACTAAGCTCCAGTCTTCAAAATTCATTACTGTGAAGGCTTGTGTCTGCACTACGACTGAAAGCATGGGTAGCAAACACATTTATTGTGCCTCTCATAATACTTCCCTTTGTTTCAGTAAGCAGCTGGTGTGAGACACTCTTGATCTGCTGCTTTCAGATAGTTCTATGTACAACTGTTCATACCAGTCCTTTTTTTTTTTTTTTTTTTAATTAAAACTGTTAGGCAACACGATAAAACACAGACAAGCAAAACCCAGATAACAATGTGACGTAGTGTCTGCCTATATGCCAGCACTGCAGCACACTCACTCAACAGAAGTTAATGCAGTCAGCAAGAACATTCTTTATTTTAACCACTTAGCAGCCTAAACTGCAAGTGATTCAAACTAACACAAGCAAACGAAACATTTGTAAAAACAGCATGTCTCTTTTTGAACATAAGCACCACCAAGATCGTTGGATCTTTAACATTATTTTTGTTTCTCTTGCAGTTCAGTCAGCAGTATCTGAGTCCCTACTGAAACGTCCATGCAATGCAAACATCACAACAGCAAAAGTCATGTTTTCACAAGTGTGGATTTGACAGCAAGACACCAGAGAAGTCTTAAAATATGCCTGAGAACTCCAAGAGTTACCAGAGATTGGGAAAAAAAAAAAAAAAAAAAAAAAAAAAAAAAGATATACACTATCTTGGCAGCTAACTTCCTTCCTCTCTGACCTAGCAGCTCCACACCAAGACATGGCTATCACATCCTATCCCCCCTCCCAGTTTCCTCTTCCCGCTGGCTACTGTTAATCCATAAAATCTGTGCATTAATTACCAACCAGAAATGAAAGGCTTCATCTTTCCAGCTGAAGACTGACACGATACAGACCTTAGAGCATACTGAAATAAGACTCCTCAACAGAAAATCTAAGCGCTGTCCTTGCCCGCTTTACTTTTCTGTTCTGCATCTGACAAGCAGATCTGTCCCGACGCACTTATTAACTTCACAAAAAAACCTTCCGTTCTGCACCAACAGGGTCTTTACCTTTAAGAGCTTGAACTGAATTACCATGACCTCAGGCCACTCTAGTAATTAATAAAATCATGGGCATGAGTGTTTAACAGACTTTAATTAACGTGCATTACACCTTTAATTACTTTTCCAATACCTTCACGCAGACAAACTCATTAGCAGAAGGGGTTGGTTCATGTTCCCAGGGTGAGACGTTCCCAGGAATCAATAGTACATGAAGGTCTTCAGGGCTGGTTTTACCTACTGATCCAAAATTTAGCCCTCATTGCATATGAAATATTTCTGGTGAAACGACAGGATATTCACAAAGGCTATGTGTATGTGAAGACGAAACTACAGAAGATGAAACAAGTTTAAATTGAAAACCAACAGGAATGAATTTATGAACTGTTCCATGTTTCTTTCTACTACCTGCAACACAAAAGTCTGTGTCAACATGAATTGAGATTAGATGATGTTATAATTTCAAATCATGGAATCACTGATTTGAGATACTAGATGTCAAGGGATGAAGTCACTTCAATACTGCTTAGCTTAATCAGTTATCAAAACAAGTTATCAAAACCACTAAGAATTAACACATTGTACCAGCAAATTAGCATGCTGATGTTGTCAAGTGCCTACATTAGGTATTATTTAGACACTGCATACATTGTGGTATCTTTGAAATGATGGAATTCCCCAAAAATTTAATCTGTGCAAAATATTCAGACTCAACTCTTATAAGATCATAACTTAATGCAAATTTTCTTTGCTTGCAGGGCCACAGAAAATGAATTAATCCATTCAGACATCTCAGTATAGATCTTTGTTTTATGATAAAAGATAATATCATTTGTAACTGCTTAGGTTATTTATTTAACCACTGGACATTTCTACAACCTGATGCAAACAAGAAAGTCTTTGTATCACTACATTATTTCTGGATGACAGTTTTGATACAAGATATAACTTAGCTTAAATAAGAATTAGTTAGGAGAAGTACACTGTCAAATGCTGCAAACAAATTATAGTAGTACTCATTTGCTTTGTAGTATATAAAACCAGGCCCACCTGGAGAGCATAACGAAATAGCAAACTACAAGAA